GGTAGGGGTGACGCAGAACAAGCAGCTTCCAAATAGGGACGACGACCACGAGTCTTGCAAGCACCTGTGAAACCAATGGTCCAATGGTGTTGGTCTTTCGGCATAGGCAAATGCCGAAGAACACACCACAGGCCGCTCAGGGAGTTGTTTTGAGTGACGGGCCGCTCAGCGCGGGCCGCCTCCAAAACTCCAAAGCTAGAGAATCTGGGTGGTGCTGAAAAAAAGGAATATCATTCCTGCCAAAAAGACATTCGACGACAATATCGAACATGTGCTGTGTGTATATAGATATGATATGTAACAACAAATTGCAACAATAACTGTCACGATATACTAAGGTGGATGTGGGCGAATCTGGAAACATGTGCACCTTCTCCCAGGCATCAATGGGAGTTGTCTTGCCAACTCCATTCGCATTACTGTGCACATTCTACATCATTCTACCGTAAACAAACCATCTGAAAACCTCAACTGCAAACAAACAAACAAACCAACCGACCAACCAACGAACCAACCAAACAGTCACTACATTCCGATTCGTGCCCATGCCCTGCGTTATGCCCTGGTCCCGCCTCGTTCCCGTCGTGCGGCAGCTGCTTCCGCAATCTTTATGCGCCTGATGTGCCAGTCAAACCTGTAGGACCAACGGCTTTGTGAGCCTTCCAACAGAACGAGACATGCAACACAGTTGCTGGAGGTAGTGATCTTGTGAAGCAACACTTGTATCGGGAAGTAAATTGAACTGGTTGCCACCATTTTTGGGACTTAGGGAATACTCAGCAATGCCCAAACCATCCGAACTGGCCATTCTGAGTGGGTCTTGCAAAGTGAAGGGTGCTGCAAGTACACGAGAAACTCACTTGGAAGTTGTGGCAAGAAAGCTACTGCATGATTTGTATTTATACATGTAACATGTACTTCAAGGAGTGATTCAGTGCCATGTGGCAAGAAAAGCCATGTCCTCGACATTTCAGGTCTTTCAAGTTTCTGCACTCCGACACCAAGGGCTGGTGGAACACAAAGCAGTGACCGTCCCCTCCGCTCACCCAAACGGGACGTCCCGTGGGGCGAGGAAGCCAGCGGCCTTTCCATCTCCTCCTGGTCCTTCTTCTCCTTTTTTGCTTGCCTCCCAAGTTTAAACATTAAATTAAACTAATAGCTTCTTGTTACTACTAGTAAGGCACCTGTTACTACTAGCGTGGCACTTGTTACTAGTAGAAAAAGTGTTGCCTCCCAAAAGGACGGAAAGCGCTTCGATGATCTGAGGGTCTGAATGAGAATGTATCTGATCTGATCAATCATGGCTCTCAAAGGCGGAGGACAAGTGTAAAGCTTTTATGTCAAAGCTCAATGCATACACTTTTATGCGGAGGAACAGTGCAAAGAATCAGCAGCGTACTTTTCTTCTTTCTTTTTCTTCGCTTCCTCTTTTTTCTTTTGCCTTCTTCTTCGCTCTCCTCCGAGCCGGCATACGCTTGTCTCCATCTGAGCAACTGCGCAAACCTCCCAGGCATACCTGTCCGGAAATGAAAACTTGCTCGTGTCCTTCTTTCTAGCTCTTCTTCTTTCTCCTCGGTCATGGGCGGCCATGTGCCTACCACCAAGAGCTGCAAATGGTACCTGTTGCTTACCTTGCAGAAACATACTTATTCATGTGCGTGATCAAGTGTATCGAGAAAATTCAAACACGACATCCCTTTCCACAGCTCTTTCGAAACCATGCAGAAAGGCATGGACCGTGGACTTGAGGGATATCAATAGATCTGATGTGGCTTTGCATCAAAGCAGGAGGACACCTAGTATATCTTCCTCTAGTCTTCTTTTAAGCCCTCAGAACACTCAAACAACTCTCCAAATCTCTGTACGAAGTGAAGGTTTTGATGCGACCTCTTTTGTGTCATCAATGCAACCACAACGCTAAGTTTCCCCAAATCTAGGAACCAAATCACTAGTGCGAGCGTGAGCTATCCTGCATCCAGTCTGCAGCTTAAGCAGCTGGGAGCGAACTAGTCGCCCTTACTTGATTATGTAAGCGCCTACTTAATTGAGTGAGTGAGGCCCTGGCTAAGGAAAAACACAAATGTAAAGAAACGACCAAAACACCCGCCGGGGAGCCATGTTGTGAACCTGAAGTCCGAAACAAGTCAGTGTTTTTGCATGTGTTCACCCGAATGACCTCTCCTTTCCGTGATCTTTTGTGGGGTGTCTCGGTGTCTCCCTTTTCCTGGGTGATACAGACTCAAATCATACATCTTACCAAACGGGCGAAGCTACACACTACCTCAGTGGAAGTGACTTCCGAGGGGCCAGGGCTTTCTGCTTCGCCTCAATCTTGGCGGCTTCGCGCATGGAGTACCATTCCTGCGATGCGCTTGGAACCGAGGAACCCGCGTGTCGCTTGGAACCGGGGTGGTCCGGTGGTCGGAACTCGAAGAGAAACAAAGGACGGGAAGAACTGAAAGGACACAAACCCTGCAAACCCATACATTTTTGAGGATCAAAGTGCACCTGCTATAGTACGTGCTACAGTGACATAATGTAGCAAAACGAATGCGTTTTGTGTCAAGCAATACCCATAGCGGGATCAGCGGGTATTCATTATCTCATCTCTTTCAAACCACAATCAACTTGTCTATGAACTGAGTCAGTCAAATTGTCCTCATCCAAGGCTTCAAAAGGACTCTTTCTGCTCACTTCCGGACGTACGAGATCAATTACGGCCATGGGCCATGGGTGGCTGTTTCTCAACAGACCGCAAAGGATGAATCTCATGTTGGTTTGGTTGAGGTGGCAGCCTTTCCCAGACCTGGCCTTTTCCCTCTTGTTGCGGGCTTCCAAGTCTTTCACTCTCCAGCTTTCAAATTCTTGCATAAACTTTCCTTGCGAATGCGAGCTCTCTAATCATACACTTCAAAAACCTCATCGGTCATATCAAGTGCATCTGATTCAAGTGTCAAAAGACTTTTTCTTATTCAATTCCAAATTGGCAGCCATGGGTCGGTATTCTTCACGTTCCTTCTTCAATCTCTCCTCCTCTTCCTTCCTTGCCAACATCTTCCTCCAGGTGTCGATTCTCACACCAGCAAACAACTCGGCGAACCACATGTCCACGAGTCCACGGGGCGGGAGGTCGTCCCTGCACTCTTGAGAGGTTCCTTATTTTCCTGAGGCCAAGTGCCGGCAAACACATATGGAAATATATGGAAATCATCCTTACCATCGTTAGGCCATCCTTCCTCACATCCATCTCCACCTCTCGCGACCCGCCTGGCACGTTCACGTCTCCAACTGCTGGAGCTTTGACTGGTGCTTCGGCTCGAGGACGAGCGGCTGTCCCGGGAGCGTGAGCGGCGGCGGGGCGCGCGGCCCCGCCGGCCCCGCCCGGAGCGGGAGCGCGAGCGCCGGGAGCGGGAGCAGCTCATGCTGGCGCGAAGCTGGGAGAGTGGGAGAAGAAATAGCTTCTTGTTACTGGTAGTAATGCACTTAGCTACTAATAGCTTCTTGCTACTAGTAGCGATGCACCTTGTTACTACGCGTAGTAGCTTCTTGTTACAAGAAAGAGGGGAATACGTTGTGGATGCTGTTTGGAGGGATTTGGAGCTTTGCAAAGATCCACGGGGAAGCCAAAGGTCACACTGAACACGCCCCTCTGATAGGTTTTGAAAATTTGATAGGTTTTGAAGCTCCCTTTTACCTTTTTCAGGTCCCTTGATCAGTTTGGCGGCCTTGGAAAAAGCTGGAATAATCGGCAATGGCGAACATTCACGAGACGTGAGGAGTCCCCAAATTGACCACTCTGCTGGCTAGAAGTCTGTGAATCCAACCTTGACGTTTGTTCTTGGGAACTTCAGGATCTGAAGAATCTTCCCAAACGGCTGTTTGGTGGAACCATGTGGAACCTCAGATGGAGATGTCCCCATTGTGTGCGTCTGAAAACCGGAGACTTGCCGACTGGACCATCACGTGTCCACCCGGACGGTTGTTTTCCGCGTGCCCGACCGCCGACCCGACCAATCGGGTGGACCCGCCAGGACCCGCCTGCAGCACCATGCGAGGCGCCCCGCCGCGTGAGGCGGGCGCGTTGGATGTTGCCGCAGGGGATGGACAAACCCGGAGCGGAGAAGTCTTTGTCCAGGATTTAATACTGCAGCCCTGTAAAAAGCTTAGATCATGAGCATAGATCTTATATACATCGTACTTTTCCTGGAAGTCTTGAGCTTTCTCGGCCCTTTTACGCCTTTAAAAAAACAAAAGACACATGATGCAGCCAGACACATGTTCAATGCAAACTTCTTGCGCCTGACTTGCCTTGCTCCAGATGTTGCATCATCTGCTGGCTAAACCACTTGCTTGAGCCGGGCAAAGCCGAAGCAGCTTTACAAGGCAATGCATCTCCGCCAAGCATGTCCAGCTTGGATCGCCTGGGATTCGACCGAGAAGCACAGGTGTCAAAATTTTGATGTGCAGTCGCAGTCAATCTGAGCATTATCCTGTAGCATGAGACATCTTGGAGTGTCTAGTTTCTCCTAGCCTAGTAAAAACATTTCCTCACATCAGAAGGAAAGGACTGCTACTGTATAGTTTGCAAAGATATAGAATCACCTTGGACATAGGTATGAAACCATCACAGTCCTGCCACAAAGCTGGCAATGATGAGTGGCTAGCAGTGCCTACTTCATCTCCTCCCAAACAAGTTCCAAAGGGATCCTCCAGAAGATCCATTGTGGAGTCAAGATTGCTAAGATCCACTTTTTCACCACCGCGACGCTTTCGCACATCTGGGAACCAACTCACAAACACCCTCATTCGAAGCTGCGAAGCTCTGCGAAGCTTGGAAGATCTGCGCTTTTCTGATCTGCGAAGCTTGGTAAAGCTGCCACTTTGGGTGCAGGTGTGAGGAGCTGAACACAAGGGAGACTAATACAAACCACTGAAAAACTGGAAAAGTACCAAACATCTGCAAAAACGCGAGAGCCATTGGAGGACACAAAAAAAACAACCTCTGCATTTCTAGTTTGGCGCTAAATATTGTTAATAATGAATCATGAACCTTTACTTACAAGGTGGAGCGGCCATCGAGTTTCAAAGGGCTCATGGGCATCCCCGGCACGTCCACCTCCACCGCGAAGACTTGCCCGGCGTTGACATCCGTGCATGCGGCCACGTCTGCGTCGCTGGTGCCCATGGCAGTGGTGATGAAGAGGGTGCGGAAGTAGGGTCCACCGAAGCAAACACTGGTGACCACCGGGACTGGAAGCAGGACACGAGCCACGACCCCTCCTGTAGTTGGGTTCACTCGCAGCACCTGAGACGCACGGATGTTGGCTACCCACAGAAAGCCTTCACTGTCCACACACAGGCCATCAGGCGCACCTTCAGTGGTCCTGAACACCGTCCTGGCCGGGCCACTGACGGCGCCGGTGCAAACATCGAAGTCAAAGGCACGAATTGTGAGTGTCGGGCTGTCCGTGTGGTAGAACGTGAGGTGATCGGGGCTCCACCCTAGGCCATTGGCCACTGTCACTGCCCCAACAGCCTCTACTCTCTTGAGCATGTTGCGCTGCATGCAGTAAACGGCGCCAACCCCCTCCTTGCGGGGCTTATTCATGTCCATCGTGCCGGCAAAAAGCCGACCCGCGGGGTCAACCTTCCCATCGTTGAAGCGGTTCTGCGGGTATGCCTTCTGCTCTGGATGGTAGAGCCGCGTGATGTGCCCATCCGTCTTGCGGAACAAAGAGAGACCCCCAACGCCACCGAACAGCAGCACGTCCAGGTCATCTGTGGTGGCCACGAAACCCAGTGTTTCACCAATCTGCCAGCGGCTCACCTTCTTCGACTGATCAGTGTAGCTGCAAATGGCCATTCCGGAGATGTCCACCCAGTAGAGCGTGTCGCTGCGGGGATCCCAGCAAGGGGACTCCCCCAGCGTGTCTTGCACCACGCGGGGTCGCCCCGCAGTGCCAAAGTAGCGCTCAGCGGTGTATTCCACGATCTCCGCCATGGCAAACAGTTTAGCCGTGTTGAGCCTGCACCTAGACCTTCAACCTGAAAACCTTGTTCACATTTGAATAGTAGGCCACGGTGTAGCAGAGTACCACTTTTTTGAGAAAGGCGTTGGCAAACTAGTCTGGTTGTGCTGCTTTCAGATTGACCTGGTCCATTTTCAAGTGGTTCTACCGCACTGGGCTTCTGTATGATGTCTAAAGGATCCAAAATACTCTGGAATGTGACTTCTGAGATCTTCTGGGTAACCTCAAGCCAGCGAGCACAGTTACTCCGGCCACTTCCGGCAAAAACTTGCTTAAAAGCACTGATATTTGTGGTTCCGTAGACTTCCACAAACATGTCGCTACTAGTTGAACTATGTCCTAGAGGACGCCTCCTGAAAAATACTCCTGTTTAAAAACAACAACATCCGCCTGATGAGACATTGAGCTCCCTGTTTACTGCCTAACATGCGCCGTATCAGATCGAGTCCGCACGTCGTGCTCTATATTACATATATTTTATATTTTGTAATAACTAATAACGGTCTATGCTATTGCCAGGGCCCAGTGGATGATGATGGTTGAGTTGCAGGCCAACATATAACGAAATGATATCTTCAATCCAAGAATCCCACCTGACCCGGACAGTCGATGAAGAGGTAGGGCACCGCAAACTCCGCCGTGGCGCGCCTGAACGACGCCCGGACCGCTGTGGAGTGTTCACGCAGGGCGACCCCACTGTACCGTGTGGGTCAAACAGTAGCAAACCGGGGGGCGGGCTGGTGAACACTAAAAGGAGCCAAAAAGTCTTGGAAAGAGATCTCAGACCTAAAGCTCCAAGAGGTTTGGACATGTTACCACATGAATTGGCTTCAAATATCAATCAAGTTCTTTTGTCGTTCATCCAATGAGACCAGAGTTCTTGAGTTGTTCAAAAAGGTCGAGGTCCTTGCCGGCCTAATTTCCGGTGTCCAAAGATCTTCGGGTCACTCACGAGCCGGACCACGATGCCGATGTTTCTCGGGTCTTCCGAGCTTTCTGGTTTTTCATCCGACAGATCCCACAGATTTGGGGGCCTTGATGTTCCCAATCTGCGATGGCAAGAACAAACAAACACCACTGGACGAAAACAACTGGATCACCCAGAAAACCAGCAATAACGTGTGCTTTGATTCATGGTCGTGTGTGAGGTGAATGCCTTCTGTTCGCGGCTTTCCTCCAAACATTTCCAAACCGAAATGCAAACTGGAAAAGTCAGTTCCAAGTCAGAGATATTCAAACCTCCCAGACTCCCAGCCCATTCCTTCCTTCCATGAGGTGTGAACCGGTAGCCCTCATCTCCTGTAACGGGCCTGATTCTAGTGATGAGCCAGTCGAGATTGACCTCGGCAGAATGCAAACCCTGCAAATTGGAGGAAAGCCAATCGGTTGCAACAGAATTATCGTATGAGTCTGATCCGACTTAGCACGAAATCCCTGGCTCAAACATCATGGTTTTGGTCTTCCATCTCCACGTCTATCTACGGAATTTCGATACACAGTTGCCAACTCAGTGAAGCACTTCGATGTACTCCATTGCATAGAGAAGGGCACCATTGGGGCCCAGCTCCAGCTCATTCATGACATCCTGTCGATGGCGGGATCCCTCCAATCGGAGCTGGGGCGGATCGAGGCAGGGCGAGGGGTCACTCGTCATGTTGGTCGGTGCACGGTCACAGGATCTGTGCAACGACACACCACTACAGCCGACATACACACCCAACACCACCTGTGTGTTGATGTAAAGCCGCTCTTTTTAGGCCTGGAATATATTCGAAGTTAGACCATAAACCGTGCACCAAGAGCCAAACTTCCTGGAAGAATTTGATCATCAATCGAAAACAATGAATGGTAGGCAATGACTATATACTATACTGATTGCCTCTGGGGGTCTGAAGTTCGTCCAGGTGATCCAAGCCGGTCGAAAACGTTCGTCTGCGGCGCCTCAACATTCACCAGCTCTCTCACATCAATGTCACATTCGTACCTGCCAGGTTGCAGCTGACCCTTAACACTCAACATATTCAAGGAAGTCACTACAGTTGCTTCTTCAAAAGAAGAAAACAGGATATCTACGCTTGAAGAATCCAACAAGTGTTGGACATAAAATAGCTTGAAGAACTCTAATGTGCCTGAAACAAACCCGTTGAATCTTCAGCCAAAGCCTCTTGGAACCCTCTTGCCAACTGTTAGACTCCTCAAAACAGCACAAACCATAGAACTGTGTTTGTGCTTCGCAGCGAGTGTGGGAAGGGAGGGGGGCACGGCAACTCGTCGTTGGCTGGGTCCAAGTTGATCAAGGTCCGAGGACGCTTGAGCCTGGCACCAAAGAAACGAGGGATGGGACACCCACAAACATGCAGAATTGCTAAAGACATGTTTAAACGTTGAAGCCAAACTGTGTGAAGCTGCTGTAGTTGCATGGAGTTGCCGTAGTTCTTTTCTTTTCCACGGCACTTTTCCTACGTTCGGTGGATATGCTTCTCACCGGGAAAACTTCACTCTCGTCTTGATCGTCGGACGTCTGATAAACACCATCCCCAAGTCCCGAGTCCCCATGGACCTGGAAAGTCACTTACGTCTTCCTTGTTGGAGGATAGACCGCGGTCTGAGAGCCCTGACAAGAGGCAGTAAGTAGATGGATGTCTTTGAATGACGTGGCATTTGGTTGCTAGTCCAAAAATATGGAGCCCCAAAGACGTAATTGGGAAAGGCAAAATGGACCAGCGTATGCAATCCTCTAGAACCTTGACCCAACGCCATTTCCTCTTCATCAGGTACTAAACTGCCGTCAGGCGTACGCCCCCAGCAGCTGCTGCATGCCAGTGCAATAGGTGGTCCTGGCTGCGATGCAAAGGTTTGCTCTTGCTGTATGAGTAGGTCAGTAGGAGCCAGCATGTGCCGCGATGTTCAGAGTTGAGTTGATTCATTATACACATATGCCTGGGTCCACCGGTGTAAAAAAGGTGAAACTACAGCTTCTTTCTTGCAGACAGCCGTGGAAAAACACGTGCCGTTCCAACCCATCGCTTTAAACCATCATTGTCTTCAACACGGTCGCACTCGTCCAACCGTCCAAACGGTCGCTGTGTTGTCGCTGGCTGTTTGAGCCGTTTTGCGAGGGTGCCGCTTTGTTCCACTGATTCTGTCACCATTTTCAGGAAAAAGGCACGTAAACACATATTAGAACAGCTGAACAGTGCTGTTTCGTTTATTTAACGAATAGCACGCAAACACACACACACAAAGTTTTCTGGACACCGCAGTATTTTTGCATACTTAGGAAGATGCAGGTATGATTACACATACCTTTGTACAGCGAGTGCTTGTGAAGGAAGGTTCAAACGACCAGCTCGCTTACTCATTCCGATTGAACTATCAACTTCAGGTATCGCCTAATACCTAAAGGCTTCTCACTGTGGTAAATAAGGCTTGCTGGCATAAACAAGTCTCCCGTTTGCCAGGCACACTTGAAAAACACATGTGTTCAGTGATGACGCATGCGCCAAAGAAAGGCTTCGATTCACATGAACAAACAGAGTGATTAACAGCTTCCATTTCTCAGTTTAGTTGGTTTCAACTTCAACATACCTCAACTATATGTATTAATATATATGTATATATAATATATTATATATAATATATTATATATTTATAGATTGAACTCATTAAAACTCAATCTATTTGAGCTATTTCAAGCCGTGTCATGCTGTGCCATCCTTTTGGCCTCTGACATCCTCTGGCTCCCTTTCCAACGAAGACCGACCCGTGGTCGCTCAATTCGCCGGGGGCGGCTTGCCAGCGCCCGGGGGCCCCAGGACGAACTGACCGAAGACCACCTGGCGTAAAAGCGACAAACCAAAGGAGGCCAACAGCAGCTACTGAGGGAAGCCACAAGAACTTCTTTTGTTTTGGCTACAGCCAAAAGAGCGCTTGAGGATACTTGAGGACTTTCTATACCCCGAGGGCCCAGAACAGGGTGGCGGCAGAGACCAAAGCATGAATGATCGTTATGTTTTGCAATGCATGCAAAAGCAGCGTAAGGGATGCAAAGCAGTGAATGCTCACTCAAACGCTGTTGATGCAGTGAATATTGTTCACCACAGCCAAGCTGTAATGAGGTGTGGGCAATGCTGATCTACCACTCAAATTAGAGCATGACATAGAGAGAGCGAGAGAGAGGGGGAGGGAGGGAGAGAGAGAGAGAGAGGGAGAGTGGGCGAGAGAGAGAGAGAGAGTGAGTGAGTGAGTGAGTGAGAGAGAGAGAGAGAGTGAGAGAGAGCGCATGTCACATTCTAAACGAAGTCAAGCTATTAAGCTATCCGCCCAGAAAGTTATCGCTTTTACGGTGGAACTTATAAATACTTTGCGTACTTTCAAGGTTCCTGCCTAGATGTAACAAGTCGATCTCAAGCAGCTGGGCCAGCTGTATGGCTGCATGCAGGCTGGTTCGTCTTCTAAGCTTGCCAGCCCCACCATCGTTGGCTGCTGAACCAAAGCACATGCGGTCTGAATGAGGCTACATGACAGTAGAAAATGATGGTAGACAATTATTGAACGGTAGAATCAACGGAACCATTTTTGTCGGGCTATCAAAAGCTTAAAGAGTGAACTGCATAAGTAGGCTTGGCACACATTTCACTGGCCACTTTGCCAGTGAGTCTTGTTCCAATGTCAAGGGGTTACATGGATATGGATGCGATTCCAAGTGCTAGCCCTTTATTAAAAACATCTGCTCCAGATTTTCCAGCTCCAATGTGTCCGTCCTTTTTCAAGAAATGTCCAGCTAGCCAACAGTCGATGCTGCGAGACAACCAGCGAGGTGGCCAAAATGAAAAGGTTGCTGCCCAAGGCAGTACGGGCGGTGGCCCTCGGTCCCAGCCAGAACCCAAATCTATATCATTAAATTATATAATACTTATCATACTGACTTATACTATATATGTAATATACAGTAAGTAATCCTGAATCCTTGCCCTTTTTGAGCCCCAAAGAAATCTTACCCTTTTCGCATGAAAAAGGATCGGAATTGATCTTCGACTGACATTCGGAAAGGTGAGACCCCACAAGGATCTGGCTCGACCTCGCGAGGTCGAACATCATCTGCTACGGCTACGATGGGAGACCCAAGATTTTTGAGGACAGAAACAGCAGCTCCGAACTCCCTGCAGTTCCGAAAGGCCCTACAAAGACACAGTCCCGAGGCCTGCTAGTCCCGACGCAAGCGTGTGGCGACGCAACAATCAAACGGACCTGGAGATCCTTCAAAAGTCTCTCCCAAGCAGAGCAATGTGTATGCTACTAGGAACAAGAACGCTACTAGGGGCTCCTGGCCTTACTACTAGGAGCAAGGACGCTATTAGGAGCAATGTGTACAAACCAAGCTGTGAAGGTGCCCTTTTCCTGCAACCGGCGAGCTTCGCCACCTAAGATTTCAGATGGCTGTGGGCTGGAAGATTAGCATTGGACACGGTTCGTTTGTGGGCTGGTCGATTCTGGAATATCATGGAACATCCACCACACTTTGAAAGCTTCAAGTTGGCTTTTCCAACCCCAATCAACTGCACTAAGCCGCGCACTAACAAATCTCTACAGGAAGGCCATCTTTGGCCCAAGCACAGACATCCGCGCCAACACCTCGCTTCAGAAAGCGAACCACAAGGCGGCTTGGATTCCGCAACGTGATTTCATCGTAACATAGTAGATTACATCATCTTTTGTACAATGAGTGTAGCTAAGGAATGCTCAAAACATCTATATAATTACAGTAAAAACCACTGACATGATTCTCATCATGTGTGGGGTTCACATCGTTTTTAAATGCCTTCAACATCCTACAGTCAATTACATATTATGTTTTCTTGGTTTTCCATGGAAACACTGCCATAAGCACGCCATGACCAAACAAGCAAGCCAATCATTTTGTGGGTCGCTGATATAGACATATCCAGCTACAGTTCATGAGAAGCACCTCTGAATGAACAGCAATTGCATCTCAGTCTATCAGTCAGAACGAACAAGAATGCTCCGGGACTGTGGAATTCGCTTTAGACTCCAATTTCAGTGTTTTTAGAAAGTGGCAAGAAAACAATAAGTACAAGAAGAACCCCATGGCCATCCGTCCATCCATCCATCCACTAGATCCAGCTCTTTAAGGCATCCACATCAGAGGTGGGAAGCGCCACCGTATAGCTGGCATCCGCTCCGGGAGCGTCTTGACCTCGAAGCAGCTTCGAACTCGGTCCAAACGAATGAAAGGGCGACTTGGATTGAATCCCGCCAGAGGCAAGAAAATCCATCACTTCATCGGGTTTTATACATTATATAGATGTGCATGTGCATGGTTCAGTTATAAGTTACAGTATATACATATAAATATTGTATAAATATATGATTATACAGTAATTGCTTATACATGGGTTTCTTGCTTGGACAGGTGCTGACACATATGACACGCGGACCACCCACTTGAGATGCTTTTTTGGGGTTCATCGTTTCGAAGCACAAAAAAGGAATGCCACATTGATAACCACATGGTTTCTGCCGATTCCATGTCCATGTCCGTGAATCCACCAATTGTCGAGTGCACCTCTCTGCCAGGTCCGCCCGGGCATCCCAGGCTCTGCTCGGAGCCCTCAGTGGACCCGAAGAACTCGTTCTGCCCATGTCTGGCAGCGCTTTCAGGTCTCCGGAGGGGTGGAGGGGGATGTGGCAGCGCATGGCAGCGCCGGAACCGGGGGTGAACCTGAACAGGATCGGACCTGTTCCGGCGAGCCGGGTGAAGGGATCAGACCCACGCCTCCGTGCAGTTTGACTGATCAGTCTGACGCGATGACAAACTGCTCAAGTTTCGGATGACACACATCAGAGTGGACACGTCGCGATGTGTCAATTGCGTGGCCTGGCTTGAAACAGTAAGGTCTTCTAATATCTTCCAATTAGTGTCCATCTATCGCAAATGATAGTTGGACATGCTCTCCAACACTGAGACCACATCAGGACAAAGCCACCTCCTGATCCTGACATTAGCGAAGATTGGCATTGGAGAGATGCCACTGTCTCTTGTGACCTCTCCTTCAAGTCTGCTCAGTGGGATCTCTTTTTTCTTGCACCGTTCCGTCTACCCGGATCAGTTGATCCCCCCAACCCCTTCACGGTCGACCGTAGATGTCCCCCAGATCACTGGCCGCCTTCGGGTGACCACCACCCTTCCACCGCGGGGGCCGATCACCTTGGCATGCTCCGCCGCCCAACCTTGGCGTCTCGAACGAGGAACACGTCTCCCAAAACCGCGGTGGTTTCTCGAACGAGTGTAGCAATGTGCTGCAAAACAAAAGGAAACACAACCGGAGTAGCTCAGAGTAAAGACGTGATGTGACCAATCACTGATATTCGCCTCTTTGCATTCTTGATTGACTTTCCAGCCCACTCCAGATTTTCTGAGATCGTTACACACGGAGCTGTCAGGCGAATAGATCAAGGTACCAGCCTTACTAAGTGGTCAAACAGCTCCCACCAACATCCTCAGCTTTCTCTGTACTTCATTGGCCGAAACGAACGGAACGTCACCAGCTGTTTGTGCCGACGCATGCGCTCGGCAGAAGGCTCTTAGTAAGGTCGCCACCAGCTTTCCTGCACCTGCGCACCTCCAAGAGTCGCAGAAAACACATGTGCCGATCTTTTTCATTTCTCCGTCTTAGAGAAACAATCCTATTGGGCTAGTCGAAGAACAAAAGCCGGAAGCCCAAGAAATGTCTTAAGACCATTGCCTTTCCACGTCGTATGCCCAGTCTGCACGGAAAAACGGCATTGTCCACCCCACGTCGCGTCGTCCAGTCCCTCGGACCTTCCTGGGCAATTGATGACTAAGGACTCCCCGTGCGTCTGGCGTCGGAGCGACACAGGTCGGGAAGAAATATTAGGAGATCCATGAACGCCTCTGAAGAGGCCGGTGTCCTTGGGAAATCGTAAAGGAACTTGGCCCGCTCAGCTATTGATTGGTTGCGCAGCAATCCACTCATCAATGTGAGTTGATTCATCTGCCTTTGTACAGGAGTAGTTAGACTTCTCTCAGAATAGGTCCTTAGGTTCCCCAGAAACCTTGGCTCAAGTTTTTGAGCGTTCTCTCAAGTTTCGATTTGCCAAGAATTGTCCGACTGGGATTTGAACCAGGAAGGGTACGGTCGCTGCACGGCACTGTAGCCTTTTCAAGACGTTTTCTCACCTCCCACCGTGCAGGCGGGCCTCTAAAGGAAGCTTCTCAAAGGTCTCCATGCAGTCCTGGAAAAGCACCGCACCCCCGAGAATGCCTGGTTTATCAAGTCTGAGAATGTCTAAGATCCTATGATTTGGCTTTACACATCTCCACATCTGGAGCAAAATGGATGGGTTTACATGGACAAAGTCTGAGCCAAATGGATTTGATGTGATTTTAGATGTGGATATGCATAGGATGTCATGATTCATATACAAATATATACAAATGATATGGATGTAGTCCATAAACCAACACACTCCAAGTGCTCCGGACCAAATGCGGGCTCCTGTACCACATGCTCCGGAGGGAGTGCTTCACCTCGGTAGAAACCGGTGGAGGGAGTGCTCCGGACGAGCAAATGAAGTTCGGGAGTGAACTGATCTAGACGGATCCCCTTCATATCCCTTAAGGTTTGGCTTCAAGCTTTAGTATCCTTAGTACTGGAATAGTCCTTGAGAAAAGGCTCCGATCAATGAAAAAAGGCCATTTCAGAGATCTTCTGGGTCCTGGGTTGCGAACGTTGCCAGACTTGAACATTGGGTGACAGCAATCCAAACAAAGCAGGCACGGCACCAAACCACGACAGTCAGTCGCCATTTTTCATGTCTCACAGTCAGTCCTCCAGAGAGCGATTTCCGGGGCATGAATGGGCGCAGATGCGCTTGGAAACTGTGGGAGTTGCTGGGTCGGAGTTACCGACTTCTGTGGCAGGACTTGGACGTTTTGGCAACCCTCTTACTTGCCACAAGAAACATGCCACATTCTGCCATCTATATCATCTATTCATCCGACTTTCTGCAGTTGCAGGGCGCTGTTTAAGGCCACAATGCCAAACAATTTTCAGGAACCTCATGTCAACTATGATCAGAGTTACCGATTTCCTATTCATTCATTTATTCATTCATTCATTCATTAATATAACAATAACCGGCCCATATCTTTCCATTAAAACTAATAAACTGGCTGGATAACATGAATGAATTCATGATAAAGCAAACAATTGTAAGATATAGAAATTCATATAAAAAATGGGTTAATGTCTGTCCCTTATATAGGTACAAGCAAACAACTGGTAGGAGACTGATCTTGCCAACACCCTCTGTTAGACTCTGGTCATGGACTCTATTCCAGCCAACACACAGCTTCCCCTCAGGGATCCCTAGCGAGCATCCAAGGAGTCGGTGACATAGGCATGCCACGCCTCGATATGCTTCGATGGTGACATGGTCAGGCCATGAACTATCGTCTGGTGCTGCCAAGGATGTTTTAGGTCTATCTGAAGAGGGCATGGCAAAGAAACTGGCAGCTTTTGATGAATATCCTTGGTTCATCCTGCTTGTCATCCTTAACTTCCTCTTGAAACCTTTGGCATGTTCGACCGGTGGCGCCAAACGTCATCCTCCGATTCCAACGGCCCCACCGGTGGCGCCCCGAAATGGCGGTGCCTCGCCCTTGAGGCCGGTGGCGGACACCGACACCGCCACATCGGACTCCTGGGTGGTGCGATGGGCGAACAGGGACAAAAGGGTGCAAAAAGGGAACAAGCACGAACAAACATACATATACTGATATATACAAATATAATTAATACATCAACTATATTCAATTAAATATGCCAACTATGATGATATATGACGTAAAATGAAGCAAATGCTTGGTGATCCTGAATCGTGGCTTCATCTTGGCGAATTTGTGGTATCCCAGGCTGTGAGACTGCTTTTGTCCTCTCAGAGAGGGAAGAAGTGGGCGGTTCCCTTTGGATCAATCTGGTTGAAAACCCTTTGGATCACCACATGGTGCCACAGCAAAGCGCTGTGCGGACGGAACTGGGCATCCCAGCACCGCCGGAGTATGACTCCAAGCCTGCCTCGGTGCCAAGGCGCCCGATCGACACGGGGCGTCATGGTCGATGGCCTCCAACCTAATAGCATTGGCCTCCAACCTACTGGTATTCATGCATGTCACATGTCTGAATTGCTTTTTCAAAATTGGATTGGACACTCCAGTCTCCAGCACCCGTCGGGTTTGATCCAGCAATACATTGGTCGAGTAGTGTAGCAGTTTAGCCCAACCATGGAGATGACTGTTCGCGAGGGAGTACCTGATTTTGGAGCCCTGATCGACCAATCGCAGTCAGCCCCATTCCCCCACAAGTGCCAACAAGCCACTGGCTGTCCCAGTAGCCGTTGTGCTTGAATGGGCGCAGCCTGGTGTGTTCTAAAACATTGGAATGGCCTGTGGAGGTGGCTGCGCAGTCAAACTGGCTCTCCAGCACCGGAAGCATCCCAAACGTCTGCTGTCGGCCTATGACCCTGGTTGAACTGCAATGTGAAATGAGATGGTTGGACAACTTGTAGTTCTTAACCAACACCGAGCGCAAGAAGCGCGGGATACAGTAAGGCCTTGTGCTGTCGAGCTTCATTCAATAGATGTGAATGTCTGAATTATCCCAAGTTCCTCCAATTACAGCAAATTGTGCTCCATGTTCATCCTCCCTTCTTATCCTTTCCTATCCAAAATGATCTGCATGAAGAATTCCTTCAACAAGTTCACCGGACATTCCAAGGCCTCGCCGCCCTCGCCTTGGTCAGGATCATCTCACCGCCATAAACGGGCAGCACTTTGTCCACGATCGCCCCCAGGCAAATGGGGGAGCCCAAGGGGTGGACTCCGGTCCCCACCGCCACGGCTGCAGGCCTCGTTCGTCAACTGTCCGGATCCTCCAGACCTTACCGGACCTACGGATTTCAAGTCCTTGTCTCAGATCTTGTTCATTAGAAGGTCTAATCTTCCCTCACAAGGTTCATCCTTGGCGCTTTGGGCAACCAGTTTAAGCCTTGAAACCTCCCAGTAGTAGACGCATCTGTGTCTGCAAAAAAAACATCGAGATGTGCGTGCATGCTGGTGAGTGGTGGTGGGAC